ACAAAATGCAGATTTTATTTTTCTGCATTGCTAACAAAATAGTAACTCATCCTAACCTCAACCCTTACCACTACAAGCAAAAGAAGAGCTCAACAAAACATACGCATAATGAAGCTACATGCATGTGCAGTATGCAGAACAGCCAAAAAACCGTAAACATTGATTTTAGGACCGAAAATTCGAGATTGGATTATTGATATGATTCAAATACTTTTCTTCCGTGATCCTTTCCTCCAATGATCTTTTACTATAGTATAGGGACGAAAAGTAACAATGTTTTACATTTTGGTGTTGGGGTATTGTAGTTGTAGGACTCTCCTGCAAAGAAATGCCATTATTATTTTAGTGTAGGTTTTGAAAGCATAAATTATTGTTGGTGATTATGAACTTTTGTAATTTTTGTCAGTCAGTCTGAAAAACAGTGATTACATAGCGATTCGCCATTGCAATTTTCTCAAATCACTATTTTTTGTGTTTATATACGAATTATACAAGAGGAAATTGTGCAATAAAGAATTATTATTATTATTATTTATTATTATTATTATTATTATTATTATTATTATTATTATTATTATTATTATTATTATTATTATTTTGTTTAATGCATTTTCCCGTTTTGAAATGAGACTTTAAACATTTTAGGTATTTATCATTACTTGTTGCATTTCGATCAAGTTGCAAGTCTTTAATAAAGAGATTGTTGAATCACACATCTTGAAATGTACTAGTCAGAATATGAAAATATAATGAGAGCCTTACATAATAAACGAGGAAAATTTTTATACAGCAGCTTTCATTTTTGTTGTATAATTACTTTTTATCAATATTAGTGGCCATGAATTTGTCGGAAACGGAAAGAACACAAATTTCCTGTTTCCATCGAAGTTCATCGAGTTCCATCGAGTATTTTTATACCCCAACTTCTTGCCCATCCGATTAAATAATCAGCTTAGGTGAAGCCATTATGCGAAGACTAGAGGGTTTTCTAATATGGTTGGAGAATTGTGCTCTATTCAATATTAGCCCAACAAAGACCAGACACACAACAAGGAGATTCAAATGAAAGTTAATATAACTAAAGTGACACGAACCCCCCGTCCAAAAAAAACTTCAATGTAGTGGAAAGCTCTCATTTTAAAAGTGCTTTACACCTAAGGAAAACAACTTGCCCTAACCTCGCCTGCCTCGGGAAACCATATTTAAGGCAGGCTGACAAGGGTCGCCTGGCAAGGAAACTAGCTTACTCGAGATCAACTGTTTGTCCATAC